GTAGGTGGATGCCGACGGGTCCAGTTTATACCCTCAGAAAGTGGATATTATCTCAAGGACCACGTGTTCTTAAATCTTTCCATTGGAATTCACGCATCGTGCGAGCATCGATGCGTCATGGAGAGTGAATGTGTGTCGATCAATGTTGGTCCACCAATAAACGACAAAGTGATATGTGAGTTAAGTAACTCTGATCATTGGCATCACCCTAAAGATCTTCAACCAAAACACGGCTGGACATATAGAGGAGCAGAGGTAATTGAGTTCAAGGTCGTGTCTTGATGCTGTTTTTGCTAGCACGTGTGATGATATTTTAAAAGCCGAAGGCTGAGGCAAAAAATAGGCCACTTCCGAGTTCCAAAAACCCTCACTTTCAAAATGACGCCAAGTGCACAACCTTTCTAAGGGACAATGAGTAATTTTGCATGAGAATTGAAAAATCATTTCCATATCAAAGTTGATACAGAGCCCTCGTTTTGATACAGAGGCCCAGGGGAACTCGGAAATGGCCTATTCATTTTGATCTAGGAGACACTGGCAAATCTCGCTATTTTGCGATAACCGAGTTCAATAACTGTTTTATCATTCGATCACCAAATTTGTTTTTTAATATCTTCGGGAAGCGGAGCGATCTGCCATTTTTCACGCAAGAGCGATCGCAAGAAGGAGAAAACCGTGGTTTTGTTTACGCATGAGCAGAATATTATTTGTACCCCGGGTACCGGAGTTTTGTTTATCGCGTGCGACGAGAAGCTTCATTGGTCGGAGGCCATAATTTGTAGGCAGTTATTTGTAGGTCACGTGCTGGGCTTTCGGCCAATGAAAAGGAGGAAAAATTCCATCCAATGATGATAAGTTTAATGGTTATTAAAGGGACTATGCCAAGCCATTTGCTATCTCTTTAAAAAGCTCAAACTTTTTTTCACCTCAACTGAATTCATAAAAAAATGCATCGCCCAGAACACTATAATTAGGGAGCTTAAGCAACGACGACGGCGACGGCTACGAAAACGTCACCTAAAAAGTGAAATCGCGTTTCCTCAAACTTTATCGCGCTTCTTCCATGTGGTCTAATTCGTCAAATGTTGGCAAATGTTTTTGGAGTTGAATTCTAAAGGACTGCATCAAAGTTCAAGAAAAAAAGTTGTTGTCTTGTGTTCCCGTTCTCGATAAAACGTGACTTAATAAGGCATTTTCACGTTGTAGTCGGCTGAAAAATGTTCAAAACTGAAAGAGTGATGCGTGTGCAAAGTTGTTGTTTTGCTGATTTAAAACAATTATTCACTGAGGTGGAGGTGGTGAGTGATGGTAAATATCCCCCACTGGCCGCTGACACTGAGGTGAATAATTGTTTTAGTATATACGAAAGCAGTGAGATCATTGAGCACAAAATTAAATGATGGATTTTGAAAAACATCATTTACTGCTGCCAACGACAAAATTTGGCACGCAAATGTCATGTTTCCTTGCCGACAAATTACACTTTTCAAGGCATTTGTCTAGCTATTATGGGAAAATTTCTGTAAAAGGATTTATAAATTCTTTTTGTATTTGAAACCATTCTGTAAAGAACTATTAAATTCAGTTTTAAGATTACTTATGAACATGTCAGCTAAATAAAATAACCCAAGCTTCCGAACCGAATTTCGTCAATTTCCGGAGCGGCCCTTTAATGGAGGTTCTATTATGCGTTACGAGTTTACTTATTTTCGGAATTTTACCGTATCCTTATGACGTAGTTGGTCAAGCGTTCTTTTGCCTAGTTGTTTTAAACCCATGCCGAAACACCAAACAGGATCTCAGCAAAAACTGGTCAGAAGATTATGCTACAAAGCAGCTGCGGGACAGACCTCACCTTAGCTCAGATAATCGCGCCATTAGGCGGAAACATTAATCGGCTGCCTTGTCTCCTTCTTCCTTCCGGCAGGCGACAAAAAACAGAACGCAAACTGCAGACCCCAGACAAACCTTCTAAGGGCTTCGTCACGCGTTTCTTCCCTACAGGACGAACGCTTGTCGAAGCCAAAAGGAAGTCTGCGTGGGTGGCTAAACACTGCTCTTTCAGCCTGAAAAGAACCGGGCTCGCAAAGCCGGCGGTGATGCAAGTTGTGTGGTATTCCCGCAATAACAATCTATCTCCATGACATTTTGGCTTTGTTACTTCTCTTTTCTCTCTCGTTGGAGCCAATTCACAACTGAATTCATTGCTACCCTAAGATAAAACGTGTTCTCTTCTCACAGAATCTATGCTGCAGCAATCCTTGCCGGAACAACGCCAAATGTCTCCTTGGATTTACTGACAAGAAGTATCTTTGTGTATGTACATCGGGATACACAGGAGAGCACTGTGAAACAGGTATAGTGGAGAAATTAATTGTGACAGGTCATATTGCTGGTAACAATATGCAATGAATAACAAAGCCTTTAAACACCCCACTGAAGGGGAAACAAAAACAGGCTAATCAGTTCGTGGGGTGGCAATTTTAACATTTAACTTCGCCTGTTGATTCTTCAAGCAAATATAACAGCGACAGCAATGATTTCCAATAAAATGCAAGTTGCACGATGGCGCAGGTCAAAACAATAACAACTAGCTTCCAAGGTTAACTGGAAAAGCTTGATGTGCCCCAGTATAAATTACCTTTTGTGTCCTTTTGATTTGATAAACTGAACGGCGTCAAGCAGCGGAGGTCATGATTGCCCCCAAACTGTAATTCGTACAAAAACCCTTCCGGTATTGAAATTACGGACCGCATAAGCAATGGTTCACAGGTAACGACCAAGTGTGCGATCAACAACACGTTTACTTTGATGTAAAAAGTATCAGGTTAACTTTTTTGCTCTTCATATCATTTAGATATCGATGAATGCAGCATCGGAAGTCATGATTGCCATCAAAATGCAAAATGTATAAATACCGCTGGACATTTTAATTGCAGCTGTCAAACAGGATTCACAGGAAATGGTCATCTGTGCCAAGGTAAAAAATATCTTTTATTCCATAATCTGCTCGTTTGCCTCCATCTTAAAACTACTGGATTTACTTTTTCCTTGTTTTCTTTCTGTTACTCGCCGATCAGATATCGATGAATGCAGCAGCGGCAGCCATGATTGCCATCAAAATGCAACTTGCGTTGATACTGCTGGACACTATGATTGCATCTGTAAACCGGGTCTCACTGGAAACGGGAGAAATTGTTCAGGTGAAGCTATAATTTTTTTTCATTTGTCAAACGATAACCGAGGGAGTCCCCCCCCCCCCCCACCAACCTCCTTCATCCTCTCAAGAAAGCTTGGTGACAATAACGAGGGCAGGAGCCCATCAAATGCAGCCTCCATCTCCATTAATTTCTTGAGTCAACCCTTTCCCGTGTAGATTTATAAATAGAACGGTTTGTTTCCCGCGAAAAGTGTCATTTTTCCGTAAGTCTCGTATGTCACGGTGAAAAAATAAAATTGGATGAAGTCGAACTCAGATGCCCGTCCTTCGACCGTTTTCCTTTTTTCCCAACGTCCATTTTTACAATTTTACAGCCGCTGGGATCTGGGTATAACGGAATAAAAGTTAATGAATTACCCGACTGCGACTGAGCATAAAGCGATGAGACAAAGACAGCGAACTGAGGATCACGGAAAGGTTATCTTTGCGAGTATTTCTTTTTTTTTTTTGCCGCCATACATTCCACATTTAAGCATGCACCTAGAAAAGAGTCGACAATTAAGCGTTCTGTGGGCGATTTGGAACTCTTCGATGATCAGCGCCGAAAAAGTGCCAGGATCATTTGATTTTTGTCATCACCGCGGAGTGGATTTCGCCAGTTAAGCACCGCGTGCAAAAGCGATGACCTAAGTAGCAACTAACGAGGAATGCTTCAGTTCCGAAATTTGAGAAATTGCAGTCTTCCTTTACAACTGACTTGCATCACCATGAGAGTTGCCTGATAAAACTGGCACTTGAAAAGTTGAACAGAAGACAACAGTTGCTCGACCGTGAAGCTAACTCAAAAGTAATTTGCTAACGGAGGAATTTGTGACATCGCGCTCCAGTCCAAAGACCCACTAATCTCAAGAAAAACAAAATGGATTGTATCTGCGCCAAAAGAATTATGACTGACCAACAGGACAATTTTCAGCACTTAATGTAGAAGTTTAGGCTCAATTCCTTCCTTCGACTTCGCATCTGTAGATCACTTTTTTGCGAGAAAACAATGTCTGGGCCCGGCGTTACAAAACATAGCAAGGAATCATCACACTAGCTGACGGGCAAAACAACCACAAGGACCACGAGTATTTATTGAGATAAACACATTTCGGAAAAAAAAAAATTGAAAAACTAGAAATTTGATTAACATTGAGTCATTTGGCCGAAATAAGAACCTTACAGTCAAACCAGGTCAAGCGTTCCCGTCGCTAACAAACTAATGAATTCATTAATGGCAAAATGATTTCGTTTGTTGATTCAATAATCCATTCATAAAATGAATAATCCAACAGTCAAATTGTACCTCGATTCAATAATCAAATGTTGATTTGGTTTATGAACAAAATCTACCTGTTCTTTATTCTTGTCTGTTGTGTTCAATCGTATTTGCTTCCCTTTTCCTGCCGTTTACGATTGCGTTTTTCATTGCCTTTAATCAAAATAACAGCTAGAATAGACAGACCGCAAACGCAAAGAAACTGACAAAGGCCGAGGATCGAAATCCACCAATCACCGCACATACACTGACCTCAGTTTGACCGTCGTGTTTTCTAAGAAGTCAGGCCTAGGTCTGTTGCACTGATTACTGGCAGCAAACTGGCTTACATGTAACAGTTTGTTTGGGTTTGAACTTCAGAACTCGCCAGCACTCGACTCTCAGAAAAGAAAGAGGAAAAAACAAAATTCTGAGGTCAACTTGTGGAAAGTGTAATTTTTCAAAAAACAGTAATCGAATCAACATTCGATTATGGAATCGAGGCTAAATATGACTATTGGATTGTTCATTTTATGAATGGATTATTGAATCAACAAGCGAAATCATTCTTCCGTGAATGAATTCATTAGTTGGTTAGCGACGGGAACGCTTGACCTGGTTTGACTGTAACGCTCAAAAAAATTGGCTAAAGAAAACGAATCCTGTCAGAAATATAGACTGCAGGTAGTAGTTAATCAGTATGCATGTAACAGACAACACCGCGGCAAAACGCAATGCGCATAAGCACCAATTTTTATATCCGGTCAGCTTTTTATTTCCGGTCTAGTATATAAACCAATAGCGAAAGCATAACTTTGCCGTCGCGCCAAGTTTAAAAGCAAAAAGGGCGAAACAGACAAAAAAGGGGGCCAAAAAAATCACTTCATTCGAAAGCTTATATATTTTTCTATTCTCAATCTTTTGCACCACATGGTTATCTGTTTGCACCAACGGTGAAAATGATGTTTGAAGTTTGCAGGTCGCGAGCGCTCGACAAGACGAATTTGTTACTGGCTTTCTTGCATGCTACTGGTTTGGCATAAGTTAATTTGGAAGAAGGCGACAACTAAGAAAAGAATAACAATACTTATGAAAGAAACCAAAATAAAGACGTCATCATTATCATAAAAAACACTAAAACCAGGAAATAAAATTTTAGTCCGTTCAATAATTTGTTTTATTATCAGAGAAAACAAGAACTCAAAACAAAAGATAGGCGGGATTTAATAACAACTTTGACTTTGATGACTACAGTCACTGGGAAACTAAACATGCCTATAAATGACTTTCTTTCAAGAAAATACCTATTTAATTCCTTTACATGGTTGTTCTTTTGTTGAAGACTTCAATAATTTCAGGCTGTGCGGCTCGGCTGCATCTCATGCAAACACGAAACTTCTAGCTGCTAAATACATGGCATGAAAAGTTCGACTTCTAAAAGCCACTGAACCAGCTTTCGCTCTCTGATTCTGAGAATGGAAAAATAAATAAATAGAGTTGTCAACTTGCTGCCAACCGGCTCAACAGTATAATTAAGCTTATGTTTCATGGCGATCAACCCAGAAGAGTTTCGTTAGAAAACACGGTAAAACCCACTGGTAAACAAAACTACAAAGCGATTGTATGTTGTCGTTTTCCAAATAAAGTTTGAATTGGCTTTAACACATGTAGACTGAGAAACTGAAGAACTGAAAATTAGAACTACAATACACAAGCTTGCAATGATAACGTTTTAATTTTATGTCTTAGTTTCAGCCAGGTTAAGTAAAAAATAACAGTCAAAAACTTTATTTTCGTGAATGAAAATCAGTTTACCTGACGCTCTAGCCAAAATTACACACTGAGTTATTATCATCTTACCTTTTCTGAATCTAATCGACTAATTGTTTCAGTGATCTGTGCCTGGTTATCCATAAAGGCAATGTCAATAACTACAAAATAGTCAAAAACACGAGCAGCATAAAGCAGAACAACTGAACCACAAGCCGCACACAGAATGAAGCGCGCGGGAGACTTTGACTGGAAAGTGTGACTGAAAAAGAGACCGGAAATGCTCAACCTGGCGCATGCGTAGACGTTTTGCCGCGGTGTTGTAACAGACCAGCTTCATGGCCTCTTAATGTGAGACAAGCAATCAAAATTAAGTTTACATAGTCAGAGTTTAAAAGTCTCCACAGTATAATCTACCCGCTAGAAAGAAAAATAAAAGAAAATCTCTGGGGGATGAAAACGCTAAAGTCACGTTTCACTAGCTTATGATTGTGTCTAACCTGTCAACACCGAATTTCCTGCTGTTTGATGAAGTACAATAGCTGTGTCATTTCGACGTTGTGATTGGCTCTTCCCACCGTCGGCGCGCGAAGTCTCCCCTGGGAACCGTTCTAATTATAAATCTACTCGGGAAACGGTTGACTCCAAGGGCTTGTATGGGAGATGGAGGCTCCATTTGATGGGCTCCTGACGAGGGACATTATTTTTTCCAAGTGGAGAGACTCGCCTAGTGACCCTCCGATGGAAAGGCGGAAGAGACACTCTTCATAGTAGTCTTTTCTTCGGAAAAAGGGAGGGGAGCTAACGCTTTCTTCAAGACCCCCGCTCTACAGTTCTATAGGGTAGCCAACTGTTTACATGGAGAGTGGGGACCAAAGATAGGTAAGGAAACCCGCTTTGGTGGGGTCGCCCGCCTGTCCATATAATCTCTCATATGGTCACCCCACCCATCATGTAAACGTAATCAAATTGAAATGAGAAATTATATGGACAGGCGGGTTACCCCACTACATTGAGTTGTTTGTAGTGAATCCTTTATTATCCCACAATCATTTATTTTTCTTGCAAGACTGGTCACAAAAATTTTTCTCTACTTTGAAAAAAAAATCTAAGATCTACCAACCAGAGGAGTGTATGCTGTCGAACACTTCACTATCAATGCAAAATCGGTTTCCAGCCTTCGCAAACTACAAAAGTGATATCGAAGGCTATACTACAGACTCTCATCTACAAGCAGAACGATTCAACCGGAAATGTTTCCCTTTACCGGGCTATAGGGTGGGATTTTAATCCTTTAACTTCGCCTGTTCAGTCTTCTGGTAAATACCACAACAAAAGTAAATGATTTCAATAAAATGCAACTTGTACGAAGCCACGGCAGGTCAAAATAATTACAACTAGCTTCCAAGGTTAACTGGAAAAGCTAGATGTGCCCCAGTATAAATTACCTTTTGTGCCCTTTTGATTTTTTATTTCTGGACGGCGTCAAGCAGCAGTGGCCACGATTGCCACCAGACTGCAATCTGTACAAAAAAATCTTCGTACATTTTAATTCCAGGCCGTATCAGCAAGGGTTCGCAGGAAACGACCAAGTGTGCTCAATGTACAACAGTGAATTAAATTTCCTTTTATTTTTTGAACAACACGTTTACCTTGATATAAAAAGTATCAGATTAACTTTTTTGCTCTTCATATTATTTAGATATCGATGAATGCAGCATCGGAAGCCACGATTGCCATCAAAATGCAACTTGTGTAAATACCGCTGGACATTTTAATTGCAGCTGTCAAACAGGATTCACAGGAAATGGTCGTCTGTGTCAGGGTAAACAATACCTTTTATTCCATAATCTGCTCGTTTGCCTCCATCTTGAAACTACTGGATTTATTTTTCCTTGTTTTCCTTCTGTTACTCGCCGATCAGATATCGATGAATGCAGCAGCGGCAGCCATGATTGCCATCAAAGTGCAACTTGCGTTAATACCGCTGGACACTATGATTGCATCTGTAAACCGGGTCTCACTGGAAACGGGAGAAATTGTTCAGGTGAAGCTATAATTTCTTTTCATTTGTGAAACGATAATCGAGGGAGTACCTCTCCCCCCCACCACCAACCTCCTTCATCCTCTCAAGAAAGCTTGGTGACAATAACGAGGGCAGGAGCCCTTCAAATGCAGCCTCCATCTCCATTAATTTCTTGAGTCAACCCTTTCCCGTGTAGATTTATAAATAGAACGGTTTGTTTCCCGCGAAAAGTGTCATTTTTCCGTAAGTCTCGTATGTCACGGTGAAAAAATAAAATTGGATGAAGTCGAACTCAGATGCCCGTCCTTCGACCGTTTTCCTTTTTTCCCAACGTCCATTTTTACAATTTTACAGCCGCTGGGATCTGGGTATAACGGAATAAAAGTTAATGAATTACCCGACTGAGACTGAGCATAAAGCGATGAGACAAAGACAGCGAACTGAGGATCACGGAAAGGTTATCTTTGCGAGTATTTCTTTTTTTTTTTTTTTGCGCCATACATCCCACATTTAAGCATGCACCTAGAAAAGAGTCGACGATTAAGCGTTCTGTGGGCGATTTGGAACTCTTCGATGATCAGCGCCGAAAAAGTGCCAGGATCATTTGATTTTTGTCATCACCGCGGAGTGGATTTCGCCAGTTAAGCACCGCGTGCAAAAGCGATGACCTAAGTAGCAACTAACGAGGAATGCTTCAGTTCCGAAATTTGAGAAATTGCAGTCTTCCTTTACAACTGACTTGCATCACCATGAGAGTTGCCTGATAAAACTGGCACTTGAAAAGTTGAACAGAAGACAACAGTTGCTCGACCGTGAAGCTAACTCAAAAGTAATTTGCTAACGGAGGAATTTGTGACATCGCGCTCCAGTCCAAAGACCCACTAATCTCAAGAAAAACAAAATGGATTGTATCTGCGCCAAAAGAATTATGACTGACCAACAGGACAATTTTCAGCACTTAATGTAGAAGTTTAGGCTCAATTCCTTCCTTCGACTTCGCATCTGTAGATCACTTTTTTGCGAGAAAACAATGTCTGGGCCCGGCGTTACAAAACATAGCAAGGAATCATCACACTAGCTGACGGGCAAAACAACCACAAGGACCACGAGTATAAACACATTTCGGAAAAAAAAAATTGAAAAACTAGAAATTTGATTAACATTGAGTCATTTGGCCGAAATAAGAACCTTACAGTCAAACCAGGTCAAGCGTTCCCGTCGCTAACAAACTAATGAATTCATTAATGGCAAAATGATTTCGTTTGTTGATTCAATAATCCATTCATAAAATGAATGATCCAACAGTCAAATTGTACCTCGATTCAATAATCAAATGTTGATTTGGTTTATGAACAAAATCTACCTGTTCTTTATTCTTGTCTGTTGTGTTCAATCGTATTTGCTTCCCTTTTCCTGCCGTTTACGATTGCGTTTTTCATTGCCTTTAATCAAAATAACAGCTAGAATAGACAGACCGCAAACGCAAAGAAACTGACAAAGGCCGAGGATCGAAATCCACCAATCACCGCACATACACTGACCTCAGTTTGACCGTCGTGTTTTCTAAGAAGTCAGGCCTAGGTCTGTTGCACTGATTACTGGCAGCAAACTGGCTTACATGTAACAGTTTGTTTGGGTTTGAACTTCAGAACTCGCCAGCACTCGACTCTCAGAAAAGAAAGAGGAAAAAACAAAATTCTGAGGTCAACTTGTGGAAAGTGTAATTTTTCAAAAAACAGTAATCGAATCAACATTCGATTATGGAATCGAGGCTAAATATGACTATTGGATTGTTCATTTTATGAATGGATTATTGAATCAACAAGCGAAATCATTCTTCCGTGAATGAATTCATTAGTTCGTTAGCGACGGGAACGCTTGACCTGGTTTGACTGTAACGCTCAAAAAAATTGGCTAAAGAAAACGAATCCTGTCAGAACTATAGACTGCTGGTAGTAGTTAATCAGTATGCATGTAACAGACAACACCGCGGCAAAACGCAATGCGCATAAGCACCAATTTTTATATCCGGTCAGCTTTTTATTTCCGGTCTAGTATATAAACCAATAGCGAAAGCATAACTTTGCCGTCGCGCCAAGTTTAAAAGCAAAAAGGGCGAAACAGACAAAAAAGGGGGCCAAAAAAATCACTTCATTCGAAAGCTTATATATTTTTCTATTCTCAATCTTTTGCACCACATGGTTATCTGTTTGCACCAACGGTGAAAATGATGTTTGAAGTTTGCAGGTCGCGAGCGCTCGACAAGACGAATTTGTTTTTACTGGCTTTCTTGCATGCTACTGGTTTGGCATAAGTTAATTTGGAAGAAGGCGACAACTAAGAAAAGAATAACAATACTTATGAAAGAAACCAAAATAAAGACGTCATCATTATCATAAAAAACACTAAAACCAGGAAATAAAATTTTAGTCCGTTCAATAATTTGTTTTATTATCAGAGAAAACAAGAACTCAAAACAAAAGATAGGCGGGATTTAATAACAACTTTGACTTTGATGACTACAGTCACTGGGAAACTAAACATGCCTATAAATGACTTTCTTTCAAGAAAATACCTATTTAATTCCTTTACATGGTTGTTCTTTTGTTGAAGACTTCAATAATTTCAGGCTGTGCGGCTCGGCTGCATCTCATGCAAACACGAAACTTCTAGCTGCTAAATACATGGCATGAAAAGTTCGACTTCTAAAAGCCACTGAACCAGCTTTCGCTCTCTGATTCTGAGAATGGAAAAATAAATAAATAGAGTTGTCAACTTGCTGCCAACCGGCTCAACAGTATAATTAAGCTTATGTTTCATGGCGATCAACCCAGAAGAGTTTCGTTAGAAAACACGGTAAAACCCACTGGTAAACAAAACTACAAAGCGATTGTATGTTGTCGTTTTCCAAATAAAGTTTGAATTGGCTTTAACACATGTAGACTGAGAAACTGAAGAACTGAAAATTAGAACTACAATACACAAGCTTGCAATGATAACGTTTTAATTTTATGTCTTAGTTTCAGCCAGGTTAAGTAAAAAATAACAGTCAAAAACTTTATTTTCGTGAATGAAAATCAGTTTACCTGACGCTCTAGCCAAAATTACACACTGAGTTATTATCATCTTACCTTTTCTGAATCTAATCAACTAATTGTTTCAGTGATCTGTGCCTGGTTATCCATAAAGGCAATTTCAATAACTACAAAATAGTCAAAAACACGAGCAGCATAAAGCAGAACAACTGAACCACAAGCCGCACACAGAATGAAGCGCGCGGGAGACTTTGACTGGAAAGTGTGACTGAAAAAGAGACCGGAAATGCTCAACCTGGCGCATGCGTAGACGTTTTGCCGCGGTGTTGTAACAGACCAGCTTCATGGCCTCTTAATGTGAGACAAGCAATCAAAATTAAGTTTACATAGTCAGAGTTTAAAAGTCTCCACAGTATAATCTACCCGCTAGAAAGAAAAATAAAAGAAAATCTCCGGGGGATGAAAACGCTAAAGTCACGTTTCACTAGCTTATGATTGTGTCTGGCCTGTCAACACCGAATTTCCTGCTGTTTGATGAAGTACAATAGCTGTGTCATTTCGACGTTGTGATTGGCTCTTCCCACCGTCGGCGCGCGAAGTCTCCTCTGGGAACCGTTCTAATTATAAATCTACTCGGGAAACGGTTGACTCCAAGGGCTTGTATGGGAGATGGAGGCTCCATTTGATGGGCTCCTGACGAGGGACATTATTTTTTCCAAGTGGAGAGACTCGCCTAGTGACCCTCCGATGGAAAGGCGGAAGAGACACTCTTCATAGTAGTCTTTTCTTCGGAAAAAGTGGAGGGGGAGCTAACGCTTTCTTCCAAGACCCCCGCTCTACAGTTCTATAGGGTAGCCAACTGTTTACATGGAGAGTGGGGGACCAAAGATAGGTAAGGAAACCCGCTTTGGTGGGGTCGCCCGCCTGTCCATATAATCTCTCATATGGTCACCCCCACCCATCATGTAAACGTAATCAAATTGAAATGAGAAATTATATGGACAGGCGGGTTACCCCACTACATTGAGTTGTTTGTAGTGAATCCTTTATTATCCCACAATCATTTATTTTTCTTGCAAGACTGGTCACAAAAATTTTTCTCTACTTTGAAAAAAATCTAAGATCTACCAACCAGAGGAGTGTATGCTGTCGAACACTTCACTATCAATGCAAATCGGTTTCCAGCCTTCGCAAACTACAAAAGTGATATCGAAGGCTATACTACAGACTCTCATCTACAAGCAGAACGATTCAACCGGAAATGTTTCCCTTTACCGGGCTATAGGGTGGGATTTTAATCGTTTAACTTCGCCTGTTCAGTCTTCTGGTAAATACCACAACAAAAGTAAATGATTTCAATAAAATGCAACTTGTACGAAGCCACGGCAGGTCAAAATAATTACAACTAGCTTCCAAGGTTAACTGGAAAAGCTAGATGTGCCCCAGTATAAATTACCTTATGTGCCCTTTTGATTTTTTATTTCTGGACGGCGTCAAGCAGCAGTGGCCACGATTGCCACCAGACTGCAATCTGTACAAAAAAATCTTCGTACATTTTAATTCCAGGCCGTATCAGCAAGGGTTCGCAGGAAACGACCAAGTGTGCTCAATGTACAACAGTGAATTAAATTTCCTTTTATTTTTTGAACAACACGTTTACCTTGATGTAAAAAGTATCAGATTAACTTTTTTGCTCTTCATATTATTTAGATATCGATGAATGCAGCATCGGAAGCCACGATTGCCATCAAAATGCAACTTGTGTAAATACCGCTGGACATTTTAATTGCAGCTGTCAAACAGGATTCACAGGAAATGGTCGTCTGTGTCAGGGTAAACAATACCTTTTATTCCATAATCTGCTCGTTTGCCTCCATCTTGAAACTACTGGATTTATTTTTCCTTGTTTTCCTTCTGTTACTCGCCGATCAGATATCGATGAATGCAGCAGCGGCAGCCATGATTGCCATCAAAGTGCAACTTGCGTTAATACCGCTGGACACTATGATTGCATC